TATTTAGATGTCTAAAGAATGCCTTTTTTCTTTCAAAATCATCATTCGTACCGCTAGAATTACCAGCCTTAGTTGCTAGTAAATCTAGCCATGCTCTCTTCTTTACTTCAACTTCCGTACGTATCTCATCATCCCACCACAAAGTATTATTTTTCCTTTTATTCTTTCTTTTACTAACACCACATACTTCGGTAGCTGCATCTACTAAACCTTTCTTAACATTTTGCCATACATTCTCCAAGTCTAACTCATTCATACATAATTCATCCAAATCACTTACGTTTTCTTTCAGTCTACATTTAAACTTGTTTTTCTCACCTTCATCTTGTAATCTTTCTGTTCTAATACGCTGTAACGCAGTGGTAGACACAGATGACCGATGGCGCCACCGCCTGAATAGACCATTAATTCGGCATAAAACCGAAAAATGATCCATTTCTACGTTTGACCCTCGGTAAACCCTTGTATCCACCACTGCGCCCCTCAATCTTTCATCCACAATTATGAAATCTATCATGCTTCTATCATCACCTCTTTCCCAAGTATACATGTGAATCCTCTTGTGGCGAAAGAAAGTGTTCGTCACAAAAAGATTCTTTTCCATACATACAGTGAGGAGGCTTTCACCATTCTCATTTATACTTTCATCACCAAACGTTCCCAATATCCTTTCATAACCAAGCCTCCTCACCCCAACTCTTCCATTAAAATCTCCTAGCATAACAACATTTTCATTTCCCTTACATTTCATTAATACCATCCTTACCATTTCCCAAAACTGCTCTCGGATATGAGTGGGCTTAGACATGTCTGGGGCGTAGACCCCCTAGCACAAACAACTTCTTTAAGCCCACTTTCAATCGTATCCATAGCAGTCTTGGGCTTACACATTCATACTCTTTCACACATTGCACCATTCTTTCTGATAGGATGATCCCTACTCCCTGGCATGCCCGCTCGAGCTCGTCTACACCAGACCAGTATGCGGTATACATACCATGTGTAGTGACATCCTTTCCCTTCCGTTTCGTCTCATTTACACATAACAAATCTATTCCTCTATCATACATCACCTCGCATACTTCATCCATTTTATCATTCATTGCTCCACATACATTCAACGTAGCCAGACGGGCCTCTGCAATCCACTTTTCGCCCCTCCGGGAGACAGAACGTGACGGGTGGCGAGCCTCGTCGCCGGTTTTCCTCCCGGAGATTCTTCGCACCCCTGCCCCATTAAAGGGGCGCCGGGAACTCGGGGCCATTTCTTTAATTTGATTCCTCATGGTGCGAATGGGATGGTATATTTAACGCCGCTACCACGGCGAGGAGCCGAGTCTGTGCTATCGGCTTGTCGCTCATTTAGCACCACCCGGGGGACACGTGTAGGGTGGGCCTAGGTTTAGGTAGTTAGAACTTTTTGCTAATTATAGTATCAAAGCGCTCCAAATTCTACTTATTTATTATAATTTTGAAAAACCGCGTTTTTATTGTTTTTCAAAAATGAATATTGCACGAACCAATCTACCGATTTTGATGTGATTTACGGCAACCAACGCAATATTTATATTTTTATTACATTCATATTAATAGCTTAACAAAAAATCCAATTACAAAAAATATGAATTCACGGAAAGTTTTCAAGTTATTTTGAAGAAAACCTTTATTAATTCCAAAAAAACAATTTTTAACACACACACACACACACACACACACACACACACACACACACACACACACACACACACACACACACACACACACACACACACACACACACACACACACACACACACACACACACACAAACAAACACACACACACTCAAACACACACGCACACACACACACACACACACACACACACACGCGCGCGTGCGCGCGCACGCGTGCACGCATACACACTTTTGTAATTTTTGTAAATTTTGGTTGTTAAACTCGAGTAACTTGTTTTTGTCACTTTTGGTTTTTAAATTAAAAAATGTATGTTTAGATAAGGAAGAGCGGGATTTCCAAACACAGGTATTACTTGCTTAAATGGAGATCCCAGTCTACTATGTCATTAATTTAAGTTTTGTGAAGAAAAATAAATTATTTTATTTATTATTATTTACCGTGACAAACGAGCACACAGTCCACTTGATTGTAAGTGGATAAAAGTAAAGTAAAGTTACAGCCTATATAAGTCCCACTGCTGGGCACAGGCCTCCCCTCATTTCTGAGAGGGTTTTAGGGCAAGGAAGTGTCCGCCGCGCTGCCCCAATGCGTGTTGGTGAACTTCACATGTCGTCGAAATATTTTTTCTTATTCCTTAGACATGCAGGTTTCCTCACGATGTTTTTCTTTACCGCCGAGTACGTGGTAAATCAACATTTAAAATTGCAATTAACAATTTCATTGGTGCCGGCGGGGATCGAACCCGGTTACTCGCTTTCTGTTATATTTACAGCGAGCGTTAAGCATCTGAGCTACCACGGCTTCATTGTAAGTGGATGCTATGGCCTATAGACATCGACATTTATCCTCAATTAAGAATCAAAATGCAAATGCATTGTCACGCCTGAGGACTAAGATCGAATGCCTCGGTTCCAGTAAAAAGGGTTGTGGCTAAGAAAGGCAAAGGGGAGATCTCCCGCCAGGCAAGGTGTTCTACCCGGGGAGCGGCCAACGGTCCGAGTGGTAGTTCGGATCTATTCTATATAATATGATTTTACTTTGGAACTTTGATAGCGAACCTGAGATTTAGGCTTCGATGTGTTTCGCTTGTGGCACGACGACAGCACCGCCATAGGGTCTCTAGTTCGCTACACTCACCATACGAATCACAGCAGCATTACACTGTTACGCTGGTATTCTGTGAGAGCGTGCTCCCGCCCCGGTCTAGACGAACCGTTCGTGCTGCAACTATAATATAGCTGCAGCGTGACTCTACCACATAAAAATATTGTAAATAATTTTATAACGGGAAGTTAAAAAAATGTTTGTACAAATATTATTATATGTATGCAACAACGCTAACTAGACTTTTTCGTCGTAGATCCACCCGGTAGTGTGCCATGACTGACTGACAACAAATTTGGGACGAGAACATACGGCAAATATTAAATAATAATAGAGTGTTGTTGATTGCCGATCCTATCGGACATATTTTTGCACCGTGTGGCTACACCGCATGTAATTCCGTGTGAGCCACAATGTTATCTATGACATGTGGTCCAAGTTAACGACTATGGCAAGACAAATTATAATTAATGAGTTTTCGACTTTTATGCAAAATAAAATAGACATATTTGATGAATTGTACATAGTTAAAATATGTTCCACGAATCACATGGATGCGGCGATTGAGGATGGAGAAGGAGCATTATATAATGCATGCAATACTGTGTAATAAGAAACCTACAGAGGAAAGGCAAAGATAAAAAAGAAGAATATAAAGAATGTCATAAATTTACTAAAAGAAGTCGATCCTGACGTACAACCAATCTCTGTAGTAGAAGATCTGAGTCGCCTACCACCTGTTTCCTTTGACTATGTGGACGAATCTCGGTTACTTAAAGATAATATGTCCCTTGATGAGGACCGAATTGGCGGCGGAACACAGGACGAAGTCTAACCATGAGCTAGCAGACTTCAGAATCTCTTTGAACTCGCATAAAGAGCGAGGTGACAATACGCCTAAGATATTGACAACTCCCAAAAAGAAAAAAAAATATATCTTCTATTTCTATTATATATTCTATAGTCTTTTAATCCGTAGAGGATTAAAAGACGATATAATTAGAGGATTAAAAGACGATATAATTAAAGACGATAAAATAAGTGTGATTGAACCACAGCTTACACTCGGACACGAAGAAGTTGCATTCAATTTGCATACTATGCATGCCGGCCTACCACTACATCATGGATAGTAAGGATCGCTCGCATCAAGCGAATGGCGTCTGTATGCTGAATGAAAGTTTGCATGGACTTTGCGTGGGTGCTGACAGCTCGGACTTACCGCCTAAATCTGTAGAATCTGTAAAATCGAAAATTTATGATTTTAAAATTGTTGAATATAAAAACGAAACTCTAAAACTACGAACATGAGGGAACTTTTTCCAATTAGTGCAAAATGCAAGTCGCCGCCGCAGAATGCACGTAGCAGAATTAAAGTGCAGTATTATAATTCATTCTGATGAAACTGCCCAAATACTGCTGTGCGTCGAGCATGTTTGCCGACGCCTGTGTGCCCGATTACTTTGCCGTTATTAGATCTCGGGTTGTAGCTTTTTGGTCCCGCATTCGCGATTCCGAGAACGAGATCCTCAGGGTGTGCTACGAGCACCCAGAGAATCCCATACTAAAATTTTGACATGCCGTGCATCGTGACACTGACTGTCATTAAATAGTACGAACTGCCTTTTGGGCCATATTTGTATTAACTTATGATTTCAGTTGAATTGTCTTTAATTTATTGTATCCTTATAATTATTTTTATTTTGTTTTTACATTTAGTGATATTTGAAATGGGTATAAAAAGCCTGAAATAAATGACTATTATTATTATTATAACTATACACTAAGCGTGTTCCTCCTGACGCGTGAAGCTGAAAGTAGTGCAATTTTAATTATAAAATGGAAAATTACCATTTGAATGTCATCTACTATAATGTGTTGTTTTACACTTAAAGTCATTGTGCTCCGTTGTTTCTAGTGAAATCCGCAAGACCTGAAATAAAGAACAAAACACTAATTGATTAATAGAGTCATTGAATGACGTAGAGAAAGTAATCAGTTAGATAAATAACCATTTTGCATATTTGTTCAATATTACATCATGATATAAAATCGCCAGCCCCCTTTACGTTGCATGCGTTAACATGAACTGCTGGGAATTCAATATTCTCGATATGTCAAAAGATTGTGAGTGAACTTACATTAAAGTGTATTCATAATATTGAAGTAAAATATAGTGTGTTGAAGCCAAAACTGTGTGAATATGCAACGAATACAGTCATGGAACAGTTTCGTAGTTTTATTGGAGAAAAGTTGACTGAAAGTAAGCTCCTTATCGGCCTTGGTGGGCAAGGAAGTGAGCAGGGAAGTGGGCAGCGCGTGTATGTAAATAGGTTACTCGCGCGTAACTGCCCATGCCGTTGCCACTGCCCGGCGCGCCTTCGATTGTCAATTTTTCGCGCGGAAGTCAAAGGACGGGCAGCGCGAGCGCAAGCTCGCTTATATTCTCGCTCATTTGCTGCTGAAGTTCGACCGAGATAGAACGTGCTACGCTACGTGTTGTTACCTGACTACGGCAATTCGTTTATTAATCCATTTTAACTTATTATACCACCGCCCACTCTACCGCCACAGGATTCGAGTAATGATAAAAGAATTAAATTTTTAGAACTTTATGAAATTGAGCGGAGGATCCTTATGATGAAAACGGTGTCTTTTATTCCTTTTTAATACACTTAAATGTTTTTTTTTTTAATTTAGAAAGTAAAATGGTTGTGTATAGTGAATGTGTATGTAGTGAAAACGTAGCGTATTTGTAATATCTGTATAGTGTATGTGTGTTTAATGTGTGTAGCACAGTATAATAAAAACATATGACGACGCCTTCGATCTCGTGGTAAATGCCGACAACGTCTAGACAGCGTATGGAGGTTAGGGTTGTCACAAATTAACAACTTTTACTAATTTCATTATTTATTTTAGATCTACATCGTGATCAACAATATGATTACTAATATAAAGAATAAGTAATAATTTGTTCTTACATTTTTCCTGAAAGTACTCAAAACGCTAATTACACGCCTCACAACGTGAGGGAGTACTCTACTCTCAATATGTGGCCATACCTCAGTTTCGCCACATAAAATCGTTCTTATACTCTTAGCTAGACATCAAATCCAAAAATATATATATATATATATATATATATATATATATATATATATCCCTAACATTAAAAAATGATGTCCACCATCTTGGATTTAAAAATAAATTCCATTTTCGTTATTAGCACCCCAAGAAAGCTCGAAATTGATACCCATATAATATTATTAAAAAAATGTCAGCCATTTTGGATATGAAAATGGATACCAGTTTCGTAAAAAGCACCCCAAGAAACCCCGAAATTGATACCCATATCATATTATTAAAAAAAATGTCCGCCCTCTTGGATATGAAAATGGATGCCAGTTTCGTAATAAGTACCCCAAGAAACCCCGAAATTGATACCCATATCATATTATTAAAAAAATGTCCGCCATCTTGGATATGAAAATGGATACCGGTTTCGTAATAAGCACTCCAAGAACCTCGAAATTGATACTCATATCATATTATTCAAAAAATGTCCGCCATCTTGGATATAAAAATGGATGGCGTTTTCGTAAGCATCACCCCAACAAACCTTGAAATTGACATCCATATCCTACATATATAAAAAAATGACCGCCATCTTGGATTTAAAAATAAATGCTATTTTCGTAATTAGCACACCGACAAACTTAAAAATTTACCCCTAAATCTTAATATTTTATAAAAAAACTTCGAAAGACCGAAGACGAGGCACTATAGTATGGTCTAAATTCTAGCCTGTCCAACCACACGATTTAGATGAAGAAAAATCAGTAATGCCCAGCGACTATATAGTACCTATTTTTTACGTCCGCCATTTCTTTTACATTGGCTACTTGGCATGACATGACAAAATATACACAATGTAAAAAATTATAACAATATTTATTTACCTTTCTTCGGTGTGCGGAATTTGGTGAAATTGCAGATCTTTATTTATGCGAGATGACGACTTGCAATCTCTCACAGCACACGTCGTATGAACCATTTTAATTATAATTATCAACACTAAATTTAAAATTTATAAAAGCAAGCGCGCATTAACCCTGGAAGTCGTGTCCCGAGCTACTAATACGATTGGCATAAGCAGATCGGGCTCGTCCTTCCCGCGTCTCACCCCGCACACCCCGCACGATTGCCCCGTCTAGACGTCTTCGTCGGACGACTGTATGGATTTATAGACTGTGGTGTGTAGTGTGAAAGTTTTCATACGTTTCCCCTCTGTACAGCCCTATGACATAAAAGGTCTTGGGATCGGCGTTAAGCCACTGAACAGAGGGCATAGTTACATGTACAGGTACATGGGCTATGATGTATGTATGTATCTAATGAGTGAGTGCTTTACACATAAATATCCTCATATCAAAAGGTTTTCAAGGTCAATAAAATAACTAAGATGAATGAGTCGAATGTATTTTTCATTCAATTTGATCTTGTTTATCAATGATTCACGAAACTTTTTCTACCACCAGGGCACCGCCACTTAAAACTGAGGTATAATACATATATACGTATACTATCTGTCATAACAGATTTCATAGCGGGGAAGTTAATTTGTACGAAAAATGTACAGGTGTTTCTTTCCATACTATTATTACTAATTAAACAAACTAACTATTATAAATTAAATTAAAAGAAATAAACCAAACTACAGATATTTATAAAAGTAGAAACATTTAAAAAAAGAGTTAAAAATGTGGAAAAATTAAAAGCAAACCACCAAGGCATTGTTTTGTATATTAATATAATACTCTAGAAACTGTAACAAAAAACTTCAACTCAGTATTAACTAGCGACATCTGGTGAGGGAAAGATTATTAACCCTCATTAGAAATGTTTTGCAAGTATACTTTTAAAATTAAAATCCATTAAAATCCAATAATATCAGGTTGAAAAGGAATAAATCCAGGTAAAATTATAGATATCCGGCACTTGAGCGCCTGGGTGGAAGGGGAACGAGGGGGATGAGGGGAGGGGACCCTTCCTCCTTGTGGAAATGTATAGTTTAGGAGTAATCTTTTTTTCTTCTAAAATCATAACCGAACGTTTTACTTAGGAAATTTGACCCAAAGTTACTTCTGCAACAGCTTCAGCGCTGTGGAAAGGGCCTGCAATTTGCTACAGCGGGCGGGGCTGCTCTCCCTACACACCTACGGCTTTACAAAAAAGAGGTAGGGCAGACAAAACTACTTGGAGTCGAGGCGTAATGACTCGGTTTTAGAACTGATTCGACTAATATTATCTATATAGTCAAGTTGCCCTGAACTCGGCTATGATAGTGGCAAATGAAAATGAATTGTTATAATTTTGTTTTCTGAAAAACTTTTTTATGGGTAGCCGGGTTATAAAAAATAAATTAATATACTATTTTTGTTTCGTTATATGCAATTTTTAGTGAAATTTATTTTAATCGTATTTAATTCAAAAGGCATTTCCGAAATCCAAAAACAATGTAAAAGGTTCAAGCTTAACCCTGACAAACCTTTTATTTAAAACGCATATCCGACATCTAAAAACAGTGTAATAGGTTCAAGCTTAACCCTAAAAACCTCCTAAACTAAAAACATTATTAAAATCAAGTACCGAAGGTCTTAGCCTATAATCAACCCTAAATTCATAAGTAATCGAAAAATATTCAATAAAATCCCACAACAAAACAATATTAAAATAAATAAAGATATTAAATGTGTTGCAAAACCGAGCAGACCAGTCGCCACAGTAAACAAAATACATATCAGCCTAAGCTGTACGATCTAAGACATTTGCTTGGATTACTTGCCGAATCGTTACAACAACAACAACCAAAGAGTACATAAAATAACTTTTGACATTCTTTAATAACCTAAAACCAATAGCTACTCTTTGCAAAAAGCGGTTCTTTATGTTATAGTGAAGTTTTGGCGGGAACTTGGCCGTCGACGGATTGTTGCTCTTGTTTTATCGCTTAAATAATGGTTTGAACTGGATTTTGATATGTAAAATTGATACGATTTTGTGAATTAAGTGTCTGCGCCTGTAAACTATTAGGGAAAACGACGAAACAAGTGCTTCGATGTTGATATAAACCTCAAGTTATTTTGATCGCTTAAGCGCTTTATGAACTTGAGTGACTATCGTCATTAACTATCGGCTGGGTTGAGCTGTCATCAAAATCTCCCAAAAACTTCACAATGTGGCGCATCAGCATAATATCACGAAGAAAAAATCAATAAAAATAAAAATCCCGAAAGAAATGATGGGCTCAGAAGGGCTAGAACCCAGAGCCGTAAAGCCAGTTAAATAAAAAAATATTGTGTTATATCGTAGACAGAGAAACCTATACTAATGATCGGCGTGGCCTCGAGTGAGAAAGAACGATAACGAATTTTTAGGTTATAGAATAATCTTTATGACTTTTAAACACATTTAGATAAAAATTTTAATTGTTCTAAGAACTGAACTTAACAAGATTCACCAATCTTAAGCTCACTAAACACTTTTTCTCACTTAAACCAACTTGTAAACTCCTTAAATCGATACGCTGTCAAAGTTGTTTAGCAAACTGTAGAGTTTGCTAAACAAATAAACCGGCACGGAGAAAGGGACAAACAATCACACCGCTCGCGCTATACAAGACGTATGCATAAATCTATCTTTTTCGTGTGCGAATGCGTAGGAAGGCATCAATTTGTCTTTATGTTTCTCTGTCTACGTGTTATATAATGGTGGTTAATATAGCGCATAGCGCATATATCTCTCCATAACACAGCGCGTGCTATGTAAGTAGTCGCCATGGCGCTATTGCCCTATGGCGCTTTGGCGCTATTGCGCTATGGAACTTTGGCGCTATTAAGTATTAATATCTAGCGGCAACTAGTTTTAGCAGCAGCGCTGTTGGGAGAGGACGTGTGAGGCCAATTTGATCTAGTAGCACGCTATTCATCGCGCGCGACCAAATTTGTCTTAGATTTTGACTTGTGTTAGGCGTTGTTTAGTTAGTGTATACTGTATAAGTGATCGAAGGACGCAGTTGTCTGCTATAAAAGAAGCCTAACTAATGTTTTTAAATGTAAGTAAAATATAGATACAAAAGTGTATATAATGGTGTGTGTAAATAGTTGACTTTTTAAATACAATCAATAAACTTTTAAATACATATTTCTTTGATTTATAATTTATATTAAGGTTAAATTAACGACATCAATTATAATAAAAATAATTAATTTTATTTCGTTTTATATGTACTTTACATGCCTTAAAATATTTTTAGAATTATAGAAAGTCGTTAGCCTGAAAAGTATGAAAAAGCGTTCATTGGGTTTTCTTTACCGCTTTATTTTATTTTAGTCTAAAACGCGACTTATTACGAAATAATGTTCTTATATACCACGCGGTCTATCCAATGAACGACATGTAATGTAACATGCTACGAGACATAGCGTGCTGCAAAACTTAACGCGCTTGCTGGCCTCCTACACACTTTTTCATAAATAGCGTGCTATAACATAGCGTATTTAATAGCACGCTAGAAATTTATAGTTTGCAGTCTTTAGCGTGCTATTGATTTAAAGTCGTTTTGAACAACTTTAGTGTTATAGTCTGTGGCAATATCAAAGCGATATCGGCTTGGCCTAAAGGTCTAGATACTAGGTCTCTAGTATATAGTTAGTAATCTATGATACTAGGCCATAATAAACTAAACTGTAAACTCCAAAAAAAAAAAAGAAATCAGCGAGATAACGAGATTTCGTGTTGATTATTTTGTTTATAATACAAAGTAGGATTATTGTGGAGTATCTAAACTGCATAAAGGATTTCAAGCATTGTATGTATTCCTGAAGGTGTTATTGCAACAATAATTTGTGTATATCATTGTTATCAAAATTTCATAACAACATAACCTCACCAATGCTATGTTATCTAAAAACTTTCTTTTAGTTTTAACCTACAGTCATGATACTTTACCACTATAAATTCCTTACACTAATACTGTACTTATCTTAGAATTCACTGTATAAAATATATATGTTTAAATATGTACATACTTATTTCTTTATAATATAATACAATATTGTACATACGTTTTTAATTTATTTCTGTCGTTTTTGTCGTAGATTTATAAGAATGATTATACCTGTACGGTGTTTTACATGCGGTAAAGTTATTGGCAACAAATGGGAAGCATACCTCGGTTTACTACAAGCAGAGTATACAGAAGGGTATGTCTAATACAATTTTTCGAACGAAAGAAAAAAATTGCTTTTTGAGTCATAGTCAAAGTTTTCGTCATAATAGTTATAGATGTTTATATTTTTTATGAGTATCAGTATCCACTCTTCTTCTGGCTTGTGTTCCAGTTGGTCACATTCTATAAAACAATAAATTATTAAGTAGTTTCTATTAGTGTTTACCAATATTCATTAATTCTCAATTGAAGATCGATGTAGGTGTTTATTATATTCTAGAAATTTGTGTAGGTACTAGCTTATACAAGATAATTAACATTCTGCCATCTGTCAGTGCGGCTCAAGATCTTAACACTAATGTCCTTAAATAGCTTGCATAACACAATTGTGGTGAGGTATAGTGATGGATAATTATTTTTATTTTAATTATTACACTAATTAAACCAGCCATATAGCTAAAAGAATGTAACTAAAAGAATGTAACTAATGGAAACGAAAGGTTCTTTGAGTGGCCGCCTTGTACCCGTGAACTAAGTGTAGAATGCCCTCCCACTAGATAACCACAAAAGATAAGAGAGGCCTTACCAATGAACTTGTGAAAGGTTGTAGTGATGATGAAACTATCTAGATCTCAGGGAGACAGTCTCTAAATTGTGATAATTCTGATATGGCTAAGGGGCTGTGTCAGAGATACTGAGATAATCACATTACAATCTTATCTGATAATAACTAGAAACTATTTTTGTTATTTTTTTTTCACAATTTAAAACTTGTTAATGAATTTTGAATTCAATATAAAAAAGAAATTACCACAGTAAAACATTATATCCTTTCATGCATTCATTACAGCCTATAAAAAGTACATTTCTCCGTCATTGATTACTTTCTCGGGTGTGTTTACCTTTATTATACAGGGATAGGGAGTTTTAATTATTTTAAGGATATGGAGATTATCTCTGTGTAGCTGCAGCTTTGAGTTATTTCACTACCCCTTGTAAGAGGTGGCTGAGGGATGTGAAACAAGAAATGGATAGTTGCATCTTTATGATGACAAAAATGTATATTATTTGTGCTATAGAGTATTGTCAGCTTATATAGTGCTCTATCGGTTATAAAGTGACACATTTCTTATCTTACAAGTGCTTGAATATGTTAATCCTAAGATTGAGGAAAACAGTCTTTATTTGTTTTATACACATGTGAGAAAATCATAATTGTCTTTTTTAATAACTTCTTACTGTAACAAAGTTTAAGATAAAGCATGTAGTTTTTCTCTGAAATTCAGATGTTTATCAGTAATAAATAAAAATAATAGCATCTACATGCTACTGTTATTAACATGGTTCATTATTTATGATAAATGTTGCATACATAGTAAGAAAAATTTAATTGATATTAGTATGTAATACATAGTTGCTCTGCATGACATTGTTTCATGTTTTAAGTAAAATAAAATATGTAAATACAATCCTTAAACTCAATTTATGGAATGACTTAGGGGTTGTTTAATTAAAGGTTGGATTATATTAGTATTTAATTCAACAAATTATCTGGTAAGAACTATCAGTGTTACATAAATTTTAGTTCTGGATGTGACAACTTTTGTTTTAAAAAGTTCCATAATAATAATGATGATATTGATATATTGAGGGTATCAGATACATTTGAAAAGCGTAAGCCCGTCTTTGCTGTCGCGCAATCGGGTAAAAGAGGTTATTAGGTTATACCATTGGATTTCGGTAACAATCTAGGCTTTTGAACCAAGTAGTAAAATAGTATTACTGTCAAAATCTCTGCCATTATGCACTGCAGCCTTACCACCACTGCTGTCACTCCCACTATAGGAAGGGTTTGTAATAATCAACAGGGTTGTGGTACTGCCTTCTATCAAGACTATGTTATTCTGCTAGCATTTCTCGCAGTCTTCTTTTACAACACCCATAGAACAAAATAGAAAAATAAATTTGTAGAGTTTATAAATTATAAAGTGTTGCATATTTAATACATATAGTACAATAGCATTTTTCTTTTTAAAATTTAATTTAGGTAGAGGTTTTCTGTTCAACACTATATTTAACAATTTCAAATGATAATTTTTTTATTTGTAAAGTACGAGTAGTAAAATTAAAAAATTTGTGCAATCAACTTCAATATAAATAAAATGAGAACAATAATCGATTAAATACGCATTATTAAGCATAACTCAAAAACTGCTGGTCAGATCTTGATTAAATTTATATGGGACCACACGAGAAGTACCAGCTTAGAAATAAAAAAGAATCGTCAAAATCCGTTCACCCAGAGCAAAGTTCTGTGGTAACACACAAAAAAAACATACAGTCGAATTGAATATCTTCTCCTTTTTGAAGTCAGTAAAAAAGAGAAACCAAATGTAGGTGTATAGTTTTATTAAGACAGTTAATTTGAAATATTTTACATGGTAGAGCCATGCTGCAGTTATATTAGCAGTATAGTTGTAGCATGAATGGGTCAGCTCAACCGGGGAAGGACCATGCTCTCACAGAATACCAGCATGAAATAGTAGCTTAATACTGCTGTATTTCATATGGTGAGTACCGGAAGTAGAGAACCGGAAACCCTTTTTACTGAAAACGAGGCGTTCCACCTAAGTCCTCACGGATGACAACGCATCTGCATTTTGATTCGTAATCGAGGATAGATGTAGATGTCTATGAGCCACAGCAATCACTTACCATTAGGTGGACTGTGTGCTTGTTGTCATCCTATCTTATAAAAAAATAGTGCAGAATGCTCCTGTCCTGTAAAGTGGTGGCTTAAAAGAATCCACTACCTACACTTTTGATAGGATAGAAACTTTTTATTGTATGTGTGTAAAGAACTTGCATTTATTTTTTTAGTGATGCGCTGGATGCTCTGGGCTTAAAGAGATACTGTTGCCGTAGAATGTTGCTTGGACATGTGGATTTAATTGAGAAGCTGTTGAATTATGCGCCATTGGAAAAGTAAATATACTCTATTATTATGTAGTTTACAAAATAATTAAGTAATATTAAGTGTTACAATAAATTTCTTAATTTAAGATTATCATGTCTTTCAGTATCCTGTCTTTATTAATAAAAACTTATTTTTGATACCATGTTTTAATTTTTACCTACTGTGCGTTTTGCTAAAAGCTTAAAATATTTTTCCAAGCAATCTCTGATTTAGTCTTTATTCTAATATTTTCTTTAAATGTATAGTATTTTGGCTGTTACTATAAATCTTTTATTTGGTGTACACCAAATATAAAGACCATTGATTTGCCGACAATATAGTCCTTATGGCAGGCTCGCTGCAGGATCTAAGCACTGTACTACATTGACCTCAATGGTGTCTCCTAACTGATAGTTCTTAAGATGAACATGGACATACAAAGATCATATGTAACATCCATGTCACACCTATGCCGGTAGTTGTACGACAAATAGTTCAACTAGGTAAGTTCAACTTTGACCGAAAGATCAATCAACATATTTAATTATGCTGTGCTGCGCTCAGGAGATTACAACACATCTTGTCAGGTATACCTCAAAACTTGTTCAAGATTATACCACCAGTGTATGTTGCCATTGATGACATTAGGATCTGAAACTTGGTCCTCCACTGTTAGCCATAAGATGAAGGTTAAGGTGGCTTAGCGAATTATGAAGAGGGCTATGCTCGGGGTTTCTCTGTATGATAAACTTATAAATGTGGATATCCCTAGTAGAATTAGAGTAACTGAGTAGTAAACTAAAGTGGCAAAGAGTCCACCATAAGTTCGAACCGACAACCGATGGAAATAAAAGCTTCTCCAGTGGCAGCCTTGTACCGCTAGGCGAAGTCTAAGGCGACTTCCCACTAGATTTAGTGACGACCTGATAAGAGATGCAGGAAGGCGATAGATGCAGGTGGCTCAGGTCCTTCCTTGAGGGAAGCCTATGTTCAGAGGTGGACTTGTAAAGGGCTGTAATATTGATGATGAAATATCAAGATCAGAACTGGCCTTAGCCATTAGAGGCCTGTGCGGGAAAAGTCAGTCCGTGACTACAATGCCATCTGAAGGTAAGTAGTTATGTAGCCGTACATTGTAATTTGGGTTGGCTATGACGTCAGATTAATTCGTGGGTCAAGGCGCCGCACGAGCTCGTGGCGCATCCTTGCTGTACGCTGTTCTCGAATATTAAATGCCCACTTTATGAATGAAATAAAATCCACAAAATCGAAATCAGTGACATCGTGTTACATTTAAAAATACCCACTCAGTCAAATTAATAACCCGCTCTTGAGAAGTCGATTGCAAGGTGGCTGGATTCAAATCCTGTCAGTTTACGTCCTAAAACTAAAAATGATGTCTCGGCTGTTTTCGACTAAGGCAACAGCTTGAAGAGTCATGGTAGCTAATAAAATAAATAGACTAAGCGCTATGAATAAGTAAGTACGCGTGCAACCTGGCCGTTATCAATGAAATTGTTATTATTACCTATTTTTGTACGTGGTAGAGCCATGCTGCAGTTATATTAGTAGTATAGTTGTAGCACGAATGGGTCGGCTCGACCGGATAAGGACCACGCTCTCACAGAATACCAGCGTGAAATGGTAGCTTGATGCTGCTGTGTTTCGGATGGTGAGTGTAGAGAACCGGAGACCCTTTTTACTGGAAATGAGGCATTTCATCTTAATCCTCACGGGTGACAACGCATCTGCATTTTGATTCGTAATCGAAGATAAATGTGGTCTATGGGCCACAGCAACCACTTACCACCAGGTGGACTGTGTGCTCGTTTGTCACCCTATCCTATAGAAAAAAAGCTTAAGAGCTGATTTGATTTTACCACATGCTCGGAGGTATAAGAAAAAACCGTGAGGAAACCTGTGTGTCTAAGAAATAAAATATTTTAGGGACATGTGAAATTCACCAAATAACCCTCTCAAAAATGAGAAGAGACCCAGTAGAGGAGCGTGGAGTAACTTTAATATTTCTTTTACAACTATTGAATGATAATAATAATATTAAAAAAAAATGTCGAAAGTCTGAATACGTATATTAAACACAAATGAACGCACGTACACAGAGATGTAATCGTCCTCACCTGCCTGCAAGTGCTCGCTCGTGACGTAACGCTTATGCTATGAATACAGCACGGTTGGATGACATTTGATTTTGTTGTATTGGGTAAATGTAGACTATACCATTGTCGATTATAAGCCAATGACATAGCCGTAGGAATCAGTCTCTAAGGGTGTTACCACACCAATCGATTGATGACGGAATGGTTTAGTCGACGTCGACCGATAGTTTTTACCACACCGATCGATCGATGGTAGAATGGATTAGACGATGTCGATCGAGCCCCTTGATTATTCGAGACCCCGCCACACTCCATTGACCGCTCACTATTGTCCTGATTGTACTACTGTGTTCTGTGTTAAGGATATAATTACAGAGCTAGTTATACAGGCAGTCCATCTTAGACCTCTAAGATGGACTTCTTTGTTTAAAGTTGGCTGCAGGTGTCTAAAGACTGCAGTAGTCACTTACATCACTTACTCGGTTTTGGAGTCCACGCGGCTGGAGATCGTCTATGGAGACAAAAGGGAAGTCACACAATCGATCTTCAGAGTAATGAACGACACACACGGTCAATTCAACTGATCATTCCAACTGCTCAGTTCAAACTAAAACTGTTGATATTTTTGAAAATATCGGATTTTCAATATATCGATAAATAAACTTATATATAAAACTCCGATATTGATATCCATCCCCAATATTTTAAAAAATATCAACAGTTTTAGTTTGAACTGATCAGTTTAACTGACCCTGTGTCAAATCCCAGAACATGCTTTTGTGTTTTACATAATATACCTACGTATATTGCTAATATCTGAGATTCTAATATATTTGCGTTGCATGAGATTGTAACCCTATTTGTATTATTAAATTAGCGGACGGCTACAAAAAACCGTAGATTCAAGTTCGTTGGTAAAAATATTCTGAAACTGCTTTTGGCAAAGACTTTTGACGTACAAACTGAATTAAAATTTGCCAATTTTTATAGAACACTACCGGATACCCGGCGTGTGCTACTACGCTAAAAAAAAGAAATAAGTACATATTGTTTATTTCTTTGGAAAAAAGGCAATTTTTTAATCTTTTTTTTTTTTAAATATATACAGTGCCTAAAGCACGGATTCATTTCATCATTCAACATTCAATCATTTCATTATTGCCGGATCATCTTCGCATTATTGCCTTTCTAATGAAACCGAATTGAGATGTAAATTTCACAGTACACAAGCAACTCCGGGTTTAATGCAATGAAATTGAAATTGAATGAAATTGTTTATTGCAATTTTAAGTGACACACACATACTCGGCGATAAAGTTACAAAACGTAAGGAAACTTGCACGACTGAGAAATAAAAAATAAATTTGGAAAATCCAAAAGTGCACGCCTTGTATGCATGATGAATTATCTTGAATAATCAATTTACTTATACTTTCGGGTCATAAGTTCTGTCAAAATCTAATTATTTCAAATTTTCGAATACTGGCTAGATGAACTTCAGCAATTTTAAAAATATAACGTTTGCGCTTGCCGAAAATAAAAAGGACATACATTTTTAATTAAGGATTGCCGAAATAAAAAGGCATTAATTTTCAAATATGGAGCGGTCGAAGAAAGAAGATAGAGTAGCGGTTATCGAGTTGCACCGCTGTGGTTACTCGCCAAAAGAGATTTTCAATATTCTACAAAAATTGAAAATAACCCTAAGATTTGTTTATCACACTATCAAACTATTCACTGAAGTGTCAAGCTTCGAAGATCGTAAGACGACCGGCCGACCTCGTACACTTAGGACACGTGCGATTATCAAAACAGTGAAGGCGCCAATCCAACGAAATCCTGTTCGTAAACAAAAAATCTTAGCTCTTCAGATGGGCTTAAACAGAACCACAGTTTCAAAGAGTAATAAATGAAGACCTAGGACTACGAGCTTATCGTAAGAAGACCGGACATTTATTGAACGAGCGTTTGAATAAAATTAGGCTGGATAGAACCCGCGCTTTGTTACGGCGGCACGCGGGAAAAAATACCACGAAATTTTGTTTTCGGATGAAATTTTTTTTAAACATCGAAGAAAGTTATAATAAAATGATAAGGTGTATGCCAGAACAGTGAAGAAACCAGCACGCGTATTCGAGGGTTCAACGAGCACTTTATCCTTCGACACTCATGACCAAACCACTACATGACCAAACCACCGAAGCACTCCTTTCTTAATCCTGGTCACCGCATCATCTTGCAAACCACGGTGAAAAGGGTGTTAAATGAAGACTTAGGGCTTCGGGCATATCGAAGAAAAACAGGACATCGTGTGAATGCTCGTCTAATGGACCTGAGACTGAAGAGATGCCGCGCTTTGTTGACGCGGTACGCGGGAAAAAATATCGGGAAATTCTTTTTTCGGATGAAAAAATTTTTACCGTAGAAGAGAGCTACAACAAACAAAATGATAAGGTGTACGCACATAGCAGTGAAGAAGCGAGCAACCGTATTCCGCGTGTCCAACGAGGTCATTTTCCATCCTCGCTCATGGTATGGTTGGGAGTTTTTTATTGGGGCTTAACAGAGGTACATTTTTGTGAGAAAGGTGTAAAAACTAATGCAGTTGTGTATCAAAATACAGTCCTGACGAACCTTGTGTAACCTGTTTCTCATACCATGTTCAATAACCAGCTCATAGAGCGAAGAGCACACAAGACTGGCTGGGGGCGCGTGAAATCGACTTCATCCGGCACGAAGACTGGCCCTCCTCCAGTCCAGATTTGAATCCGTTAGATTACAAGATATAGCAACATTTGGAGGAAAAGGCGTGCTCAAAGCCTCACCCAATTTGGAGTCACTCAAGACATCCTTGATTAAGGCAGCCGCCGATATTGACATGGGCCTCGTTCGTGCTGCGATAGACGACTGGCCGCG